ACATTTCTCGTACGGTGAATTTAAGAATTTTAAACGCGAAAACGATTGGAACTTGAGGAACACTAATTTCGCAAATGTTGCCAGAGGTCCGTTTTTTTGACGAGATGTCCTGTGACACAGGAGAGTCGGGTCGTGGTAACGGAAGCGGTACCTATTTAAAACTAATTACTCACTGAAAAAGTTGATTTTGACTTTATATCAGTCTGTACTAACACTTTGTTAATTGATTTAGATCAGCCTATTCAGTTCTTCACTCCTCAAACCTCATTAGCGTTTTTGACGATTAGACTACGGGATTGTCTCTCTTGCTTTTCCCGAACCCAGAGCGAATAGCGGCTTATGCCGTTCACTCTCATATAAGAGTATATAATCGGCATTTGCACTTGCATTATAGGATTTGATTTTTGTATTCTAGGATCAGCAGTAAATTACGAGGAAACATCTGATAAAGCATCAAAAGAATTATAGCAGTTTACTTAATCATATCTTTAACATAACGCTGAGAATGAGAAATGCCTAAAATTATTCGTGCAGAAATTCTTTCATTAATCAAAGAAATTTCGGCGAAGCAAAATCGATATGTTTAAGGGTGTAAACGAAAACTTTATATTTCATTTTGTAAATAGAAAGTTTAGCATTATAAACGAATTTTGCAACAATGACAAATGGACGAATCGGACTAAGAAGTACAAATGGGACATTTATTGAGGACTTTTACAAAATTCAGTTTCAACCCTCGACATGAAAAATGAACCTGCAATCGTGGTCTCAATGGATTTCCTTTCGGAACGGACGTTCGTCGAAATATTTGGAAAAGTTGTCGGCGCTTGCAGTTTACGATATGCTAAACTTTTACGTCTTAAAGCCGTTGATGTATCATTTAATCAGAAGAAAAGTACGGAAGTCAGTCGGGCAGCGCGATTGGAACAATAAACATATCCAGGATGGTGTCTGAATCGCATTCGAGGCGCGGATACTGCATTTTTATGCAGCTTTGCAATTCTTCAGAGTTTTTGTGCAACACTTTACGATCGGGAGCAATACTGAAGTGCAGCTTTGCATTTCATTTTATCTACTCGCGCAACCGTTTCCGTTTTCCTAAAGGAAACAGGATCTTAAGTTATAACGCGTTTGCAAACAAATAGGGGTGAGTCGCCCTTGAAAGTGAATAAATAAGATAAGTTAGCGGAAGGCGTTCTGAAATAAGTTTAAACCTTAATATGTGAGATATATAAATTGATTTCGCTTATTTTTGCAAAAACAAACGTGCCGAGAATAGGAAGTGGCAAGGTTTTCCTGCAAGTCTCTAACTTTATGACTGTTCTGAAAAGTTTAAGTGTACACTATGGTTAGTGGAAGGTGTGTGTTATCATCCACTCTCGTTGTAGCAACGCGACGTTTCAAACTTTTGGATGGTCGCCGCTATTGCACCAGCTGCAGTTTAATACGGGTTTTTAGTTTATTTATGGATCCATTTTATACCACTGTCGAACTGATACGGTTTAGACAAAAGAACGTGCTCTACTTTGAAAATTGTCCTAGAAGGAAAAAGTTTGATTAGTTGTTTAAACGACGTATGCAGCTGTGTCATTTTATTCACTTTGTTTCTAAGATTATGTTGCTTCATAAAATACAGCAAGTGGATCGTAATTTTACTTCCTATAAAGAAACTCAAATAAGTTGGCAGATATTTCAGTTCGTACTCCGGCGTTTATACATTCATGAAACATTTTCATATCACCATGTCTAACCTATTCGGTATTTATGATACGTTAGCGGAAAACAAGATGAGATTTCTCCTTTGTTAGAAATATCGGTCATCAGAGCAAAAGCGCCAATATGTTTCGACAAAAAAAGAAAGGGCAGCGGTCGGAATTTACACTAAAATTGCAGATTATGCAAATAAACAAAAGTACAATCCTCGGTGGGCAATTGATCATTCTAATCTACCGACATGGAAAACCAATAAAAATTTTATATGTATTTGCAGCGAATTTCACTTTGTGAGAATGCCAAGAATATAGCGCCATAAATATCAAAAACCGACAAACATATCGCCAATATATGAGAGCCGGAAATCTAATCCATACTTTAAATGGCGTCATCATTTTGATTTTATAATACGCGACGATTGCTTTCAGCAGGTATGCACTGATCACCATCTCATTTGGAGAAACATTTAATGGAAAAGGAAAGTGAAAAATATTATCCCTATACTAGGGAAGCAACTGCGATACCTATAATTTATTCAAGCTTTCCATTGCAAGTTACACCAACTAACAACCTCAAATCAAAACTGACGCCTCAAAGGCTTATAGAGTGATGAATTCTTTTAAGAAACCCGTATTTTGAGCAAATGTCTTCTTTTTGCATTACTCCAAATCCAAAAAGCAAAAAGCAAAAATTCCGTAATATATTTTGTTTATTCAAAATATCCTTTCTGTGTATTTATAATGTTTAGTTCTAAATACAATAAAGTCCGTAATAAAATCTTTAATTGTGTTGTTTAATTAAATATAAAGATAATGGATAAGAAGATGCTAACGTTGAAATGGGCTTTCCTATTTCATGGAGTCGAAATCGAGTATATTTCGGCTAGTATGAAATGAAATCACGTGAATTAATGTAAGAAAACTTCATCGCTGTGAAATTGGTGACTTGGGGGGGAAAATTTTGAGGATAATGAATGGTTGGGGTTTTCTTATTACTGCCAGGAACTTCTTACGAGCGCAAAATTTATTGAATACAGTCCAAATAGCACAGACAATCCTACTGATTTTTTTTTTCAAAAGGTTCCTTGGGAAAATGATACAAACTTATTTTTGATTAACGGAAAAAATGTTCCTTCGCGAATATTATGAGTTTATATTATCCTATCTTGAATTTGTTGGGGTTATTCTTCATTCTTCAATAATTGTTCTTTTTCTAGTGCGTACTGAATGTTTGTGACCCGTCACGTTTTATAAGATTCAGTCTCAATTACGCTACCCGAAACCCGAACTTTTCTTTAAATTTAATTTTGATAATTTCTTAATTAGAACACAAATTTCGGCAAAATTTTACACTTTTAGCACAAAGATATCCGAAACGTATATTTTGGGCGCTTTTACCAAAAAGAACACTTAATTTTTTCAATAAATTTTCAACTTCCGTAACTAGCGGAAATTACTACTCCCGGTCATACATAATTAAGTAATATTTGTGTGGTGGAATGTTTCTGAAACCATAACTCTTTTCAACCTTAGAAATTGTTCCTACATACTTCAAAGGAAAGAGTCGCATATAAATGCTCTCGTTACAACGGGACTATTAAAAAAATGTGAAATTTTAATTTGAAGCAGAAAACAGGGAGAGTTCGACTTAAATCTTTGTGCATCATCGTTGAGTTCATAACGAACTCGTCCTTCAAATTCAAACTGAGCTTTCAACAATTGAATGCTTTTAAAAAACAAACACGAAGGAGATTGAATTAAATCCTTACTTATCGTCGTTAATTTATAACGATGATTTGCCCTCAATCTCAAATAGAGGTTGTTTTCTGTTTCAACTCAAAGGCGTGTCGCTCTTAGAAGAACCTGAGATTTAAAAAAATTTGAAGCAGAAAACCAGCACGGGGTACACCTAAATCTTTACTACTCATCTTCAATTCAGTGCGCATCCGCCTTTGGTTCGCTCTGAATCGAGAATAAGGGGGTTGTTTTCTGTTTCACATTTTTCAAAAATTCAGTGGGGAGAAATTGAATTTCCAGCAATTGGTTGCAGAACATGCGCACTGCGAGAGACAAATATGGAAAGTTGACTCAGTTTTCCCCAGCACGAATTTTAAAATACTTCCATTACCAATGGTCAATATATGTAATATACAGGGTGCCCATTATGTACGGAATGTAGTATATATCTCGGTTAATATCGAATGTATACAACATTTTTCTGTTTGAAAGTTGTTTAGCATTTTATTTCCCATAATAAAATAGCATTCAGTTGTTTTTATTTCAGAAAAGTAATGAGTAACGATAACAATATTGATATTTTTTAAATGGCAGTGCACATTTCCCTCGTTATTTAAAAAAATTCAATTGTTTTCCGTTATTCATTTGTTTTCTGAAATAAAAACAATGAATGCTGCCTTTATTGGAAATAAAACTTTCATATAGAAAATTTTTGTATAGATTCGATATTTACCGAGATATATACCATATTCCATACATAATGGGCACCCAATATAAATATAAACAAGACGCATTTTCTCAATTTCTTAGTTCCTTTTCCGTCCGAAATCTCATGAATTCAGTACCAACATTTCAGTTTAATCTTTTCGGTCAAAGATAGGCAAAGGTACAGTAGTAACTTTAACTGATTTAGTGCATTATTTTTAGCGCATTTGCTATTATATTCGTGGCCGGTTGTCTGGTTGTCCGGACAGTTTCTAAAGTCCACTCTGTTTATAATAGTGTCAAAAAATGCATAGGTACTTAAATGCCAAAATACCGTAAGTGATGTATCAAAATGGTCGACAGTTTAACGCCTGTTCGGTACTAAGACAAAATGTCCAGTAAATGAAATAAACGATTTCCGCTAATTCTATCCTGATAGTATTCAGAATGTGCCATAATGCAGTAAGAGCTTTCAGTTTTCTTGAAAATATTCTGATAATACGTTCGCGAATAAGAGGATAATCACAAATATGAAGGATAATAATTTCCAAAAAGTATTAATTAGATTATTAAATACAAGTTTGACCAATATAGATATAAAAATGGGCGATAGATAGAGGCAATATTGGGTGCTTGCAGCGTTTGTCAAGCGAATATAAATTTATTTCTCGTAGAGAACTTTTTAACTTGTACCTAACTGATTTAAGACCTTTCTCCTTCTTGACAACATTGAAACTTTTAATTGGGAACTTTTCCAATTAACACTCATATTACTTTGTAATCAGTTTTTCCTCTACATTGTCGTTACATTTGTTATATATAGACGATAGTGGTGAAAAGACTTACCGATGAACGACCCCCAGGCTGTGCATGTGAGCCAGCGCCGAAATTAATTGACGCGCGTACACCCTCGTATTCCTTTCGTCCAGCTTTCCATACTTTTGGGATTTAATGAAAGTGCAAAGGTCTCCTCCGCCGATTAGTTCCGTCACGAGGTAGTAAATGTTGTCGTTCTGAAACAATAAAATATCTACTTGTAATCCAGTTAAATTGTATTTTTACCAGGAAAGTTGTGGGGTAGTTTTGATTTCTTTGATTGTATATGTTTTTTGGGGTGCTGAATTCGAATCTGAGGTTTGCTAACAAAATTTCATGACGCAACATTGAAAAAAATACAAGAGAAGTTGAAAAAGATATTTTTTGGTAGTTTTGTGCTTACAACTGGAAAACTATCAACTTTTCGAAAATAACCTTCCTATTCAAAATTAAAGTACATAAAATTTCCTACAGATTCCACTATTTAGTTTTTTTCCTCGATAAACCGTTCGGGCTCAAGCGCCAGTTGAAAATTGGCGTATTTCGGCTGTCTCCACAAAACATAGCTTTTTCGCACTAAAACCCTAAATTAATATTAAGCGTTGTCAATAAGTGAATTCCTTGCATTTACCTACTATTATTTGAATTTTATATGTAAGGGTGGTTTTTTTCTCATTTTCATAACGTTCAAGGTGTTTATTGTAGTCCAGAATTGTATGAAAAATTTCTAACGAACAACAGTATATCATATTATTATTATATTATTTATAATATATAATACTTATACTGTGCTATCTAAAATTATTCCCACTCTCTTCCGAACCAGATAAAGAAATCACAAAACCCTACGGTAGCATGTTTGGATAATTATTGATGAATTTGGGAAAGTGGCGTTGTGGTCATTATTAATTCCAAAAATTCAAATGGAAAAAGGGGTATATTGATTTCCTATTCAACGGCATTATCCCTCTTGCTCCGGTGTTTTGAAAAATCACGTACTCCTCGGAGTGGGGTAACGCAGGTTACCCCAGCTTAAATTTGTCTGCTAACAACTGAACCCGATTTATTTCTTTTCTGTTTACATGTTAACCAGCGACAAAAAGCGAGTTCATGATTTTGGACTGTCCGTCCGTCCATCTGTGTAACTTTGTGCGCTTGTGTATGTATGTGTTGTGTATGGGAGGAGGGCCTCGAGACTGCAAACGTAGGTACACGGGGACGTAATGGGCCTTGGCTCATCTGTGAAGGAGTGGGAGAGTTTTATACCAGACGGAACAGTTATAAAATCTTTTGAGGAGACCGGTAGACAATGAAAAGTACGGATTTATATTTGCACAGAATAATAATAAAATAATAATAAATGATGAGTATTTGCTGATACAGCCGACATACGCGAATTTTCAACTGGCGCTCGAGCCCGAACGGTTCATCGAGGAAAAAAACTAAATAGTGGGGTCTGTATGAAATTTTAAGTACTTTCATTTTGAATAGGAAGGTTATTTTCGAAAAGTTGATAGTTTTCAAGTTGTAAGCACAAAACTGCCAAAAAAAATCTTTTTCAACTTCTTTTGTATTTTTTTCAATGTTGCGTCATGAAATTTTGTTGGCAAACCTCAGATTCGGATTCAGCACCCCAAAAAACATGTAGAATCAAAGAAATCAAAACTACCCCACAACTTTCCCGCTAGATGCCCGTTTGAGCACAAATGGACTGTATTATTGGGTCATCTTTCGAAAAATTCTTTTTAAATATCCAATTACGAGATCGTGAATAATAGATAATAATTACTTCAGTATTGCTCCGTCATGTACTCAAAGTGTTTTGTGTTGGAAATGTTGTTTTTACATTGAATTTTTCTAGGATTTTCTAATTTTTGAGATCAGTTAAAAAAGTCGTAGGGGTTTGAAATTTGGAGGAATCATAGTTTGTTTTATTATAAAAAAGGAGACAATTTTTTTTTGGACCGTAAAGTTGAACCGTTTCCGAGATCTCATAATTTCTGAAAAAACCACCTCTTTTTCAAGGGGATGAAAAATCTATTTTTTTTCATCGTACACAGTTGCGCGGGATAGCAAAATTTTAGGGAAGACTTATGTTTTAATAAACAAAATAAAAAAATATTATTTCTACAGAGAAACTTCGAGAAAATCGCCAAAAACTGGAAAATCGGATTTAAAATATACACGGTTTTTGACACGATCATTCAACGTTATTCTCTATAACTTTTATATTGAACATTTTCGCGTAAAATTAATAATTTTGCCACAAATTGCAAAGTACCACTTTCCACTCCGTTCAACCCCCTGGATTTCACCAGCGGAAAAATTCAGCTGTTTTAATTATTTTTCCCCAATTTCTAATCATTTCACCTGCATGAATAACCCGGTTTGCACCGGTAACTAATTTTTTTTGTCAAAAAATATTATATAGCCTGGACTAGCACTTCTTTTCTTATCAACACTAACTTTTATTATTTTTTCTTTAATATTTTGTATTGGTATTTTGTTAATTTTAATCTAAATCGTTATATTCTGATTTCGTTAGAGAAAGCCTCCTTCAACTTTCACGAAATTCGAAGCAGAGAAGAACACTAAGTCTACTTAGAGAATGAAGATCGAAAATCTTACTACCTACAAGTGAGACCAATAAGACCTGCAGTATTTTTCAAGTAACACAAACCATTGCCAAGGATTTTGTGAGTAAAGACGACCTGTGTTTTCAAAAATTCAACAACAAAAATTCATCTTAATCTGAACATATTCTTTGTCAGAATAGATCGACTAATTATACTATGTGTTAGTTCTGCAGGTTAATACACTAATATTGGATTACATAGGTGAAAAAATGAGACCCATATTATGCACTGTTGAAAAGCCAGCCTTTGTTCGACTAGTAGAAGGACTATCCGGGAAAAACCTTGCGACCGGAAAATTCTAAAACATCAAATGGAAGAACGAAAGTCCGCAGTAGTTGGTAATGTAAGGGAAGAAAGCCAAATACGTCTGTACAACAGCAGATGTTGGGAGAAGTAATAACAAAAGTTATCTTGGTATGACTGCCCATTATATTGACGTAAATCTTTTGTATTGAGCTGTGGCGGTTTAAATTTTCACACACATTTGATAAAATTGCAGAAACGATCAGCCAAATTCATAATGAATATAATTTAGAGATTCATAATATTTCAGGGACCATAACAGACAATTGAAGTAACTTTAGTAAAGCGTTTAACGTATTTGCCTCTTCTTTGAGTAGCGACCAATACAAATGCAATGAACTAACAGAGCTACAGAATCAAAATGACGTAGATGTTGAACCATTACCAGACTTTGATAATGATACCTCGTACGAGCTTTTACCCCAACATTTTAAATGTCGGTCACATACCCTCAGCCTTATTATTACTGTGGATGCGCTAGCTGCCGCAGAAAATACAAAGAAATTCACGATTTAGTTTTCCAAAAAGTTTTCTCTTTGAGGATTCTAGTAAGTCGATCCACTAAAGCATTTTAAATTACATTAAATTGGAAGTTCCTTGTCCAACTCGTTGAAATTCTATGCATGATGCATGTATAAAACTAATTAGCGTTGAATTAAAATTAAATGAGCGTTGTCAAGTGTTAAAAAAAGAGTTTCGACAATCCAATTTAATGTTTTTAAAAGAACATATTTTTGTAACAAAACCATTAGCACTTGGTATAGATATTTTACAAAACGAAAAATCTTGTCACTTAGGATCTGTTTTACCAACACTTTTTAAAATTAAAGCATCACTGGAAGCTATGACAAATTTAAAATTCTGCTCAAAATTACAGGAATGTTTACTAAATGGCCTTCAAAAACGTTTTTGTAATATAATGAACATAAAAATGTTGCAAGCCGACCATATTTGTTGACCACAATTTCAAATCCAAAATTTAAATTAAAATGGTTCGATATTACTCCTTTTAAAAATGAGGTTGATATCTGCAAAAATGCGTTAGGTAAATAGTGCAATAGAAGAGCTAGAGACGCAAGAAGATGAACGTGAAATCGAAAGCCACGCAAATCCTGTGGCCACTGGGGATGAAATTTCTTCTGATGATGATTTTTTACAAATGAGTAGTACCCACACCGAAACCACAACTTCTGTACAGTGCAATGAATATTTTAATGATGCAGATAATACATACTATCCCGCTGTAAAACAATGTTTTTTTAAATATAATTGTGTGCGGCCTTCTCCTGCACCCATAGTCAGAATATTTAGTGTAGGCGGGCAAATTTTAACTTCTCGTAGAAATAGATTAAGAGACGAAATATTTGAAACGCTATTGATTTTAAAAGAGAACGAAATGAGAACACATGTTTAGACTTAAGAATGCATTTAAATAAATTTTACTTATAAGCATGCATGTGTTAATTGTAATTATAATTAGTGTTAGATATTTAATAAAATTTTCTGTCCATTTATTTGTATGTTTTGCCATTTAATGGTGCAGATTGCTAATATCTAAATCGTATTATTAATAACATTTTAAAACTAATGTTAACAATAAAAAAAAACGATATTACTAAAAAAAATCTTATTGTAATACCGAAAAGTGCAAACATGGCTGCACCATCTTTACGGTATTTAGAATAATGAATCAAACCACAAATCCACCAATGTAAATCAAATTTACCTTTGAAGGATCCATAAAGGATCTAGATCATTTTGGGAGGATCTTGATCTAGATCCTTTTTTCCGTGTTGATCTTTGACCTGAATCTAGATCCTGATTTTTAAATGTATCTAGATTCTGGATCTGTATCTAGATCCAGAAATAAAGGGTCTTACCCAACACTGTTGACAAAGTACCCCATGACCTCATATGGCATGCACTCCGATCTCAAGGTATTAATTAAAATAAGTCCTTCCCCTTTTCCAGTGTTCTCTAATTACGTATTATTAGTACATTCTAGAAGTGTGACCAGTTTAGAAGACTTAATTTTGAAATAATTCAAGCTAAAAGTGATAATATATTTGTTATATACAAACATAGGGGGAATAAAAGCGTAGGTATTATTATTACTTAATTTTTCACTGAGAAAAAAAGTAATTTACAAGATGCTGGTTAAATTACATCTGGTTCTTTTTTCTAAAGTATTGTAAAAATCGCACGAAACTTACGTCATGTTAGCTAATCAATTATTTGAAACAACATTGGTAATATTG